CTCAATTCTAATTTTTAAAGAGTTTTTTTTGTTTCAGTGCCTTTTTAAGTCATTTTTCTCATTGGCTTTTTGTACTTCTTTTACCATTTGGCCTAGTCTGTTTTTTAAGGTATTATTTTCTTTAGTATTTTTTTTTTTGCATGTGTGTCTCCTTTACCAAATTGTTGACTCGTTTTTTCATGATTTTCTTGCATCAATCTCATTTCTCTTCCCAATTTTTCCTGAGTTGTTGGTTGGGATATATATGCCCCAGGCATCAGAAATCATGCTCTCTAGGCTTGTGGTCTTAAATTTATTCCAGTTTAATACTTTTCAATTAAGTTATCACTTCACTACCACTATATTCTCATAACATGTAGGCAGCTGGGTGGAACAGAGGAAAGAGCCCTGGACTTGGAGTCAGGAAGACCTAAGTTTGAATTCAGCCTTAGACGCTTCCTAGCTGTGTGACTCTAAGTCACTGAACTTGTCTGCCTCAGTTTCCTTATCTAAAATGGGGACAATAATGTCATTTACATCCCAGTATTGTTATGGAATAAAATGAACTATTCGTAAAGTGCTTTGCAAATCTTAAAGTGCTATATAAAGCTATTATGTTAATGACAGGATTCAGAATCATAGATTGAAAGCAAAAAAGGACCTCTGAGATCATCTCCAGGGGTGGAGGACCTGCAGCCTTGAGGCCACATGTGGCCTTCTAGGTCCTTGGGTGCAGCCTTTTAACTGAGTCCAAGTTTTACAGAACAAATCCTTTTATTAAGGCGATTTATTTTGTGAAATTTGGATTCGGTCAAAGGGCCTCACTTGAGGACCTTGAGGACCTAGAGGGCCACATGTGGCCTCAAGGCTGCAGGTTCCTCACCCCTGGTCTAGTCCAACCTCATTTTACAGGAGGAAATAGACCCAGAGAATTGAAGTGACTTGCCCAAGGTCACATAGCTAACAACGGGCAGAGCTTGGATTCTAATCCAGGTCCTTAGACTCCACACTCAACAAGTTGCCCATTGCTATGCACTGCCTCATCTGTTTTTCTTCAAATCTAAGTACAGTGTTTGAAGGCAAGAGATGGCCAATCAAAAAGATTTTATGGAATTCCTTGGGAAAAAAATATGCCTTTCAAAAAAGTCTTTTTTTTTTTTCTGGGGCAGCTAGGTGGCGCAGTGGATAGAGCACCAGCCCTGGAGTCAGGAGGACCTGAGTTCAAATCTGACCTCAGACACATAACACTCACTAGCTCTGTAACAAGTCACTGTATTTTAAAATATGGTTTTTATAGCTTGCTTCTTTCCTTGAGAACAGCTTGTTCATTTACTCATATCTGTTTATCACTTATCAATTGAGTAATGACTTATTCTTATAAACTTGAATCCATTCCTTTTATATCAAGAAATTTGCTGCAAAGATTTTTTTTCCTTGCATAACTGCTTCCCTTCTAAACTTAGCTGTGTTGGATTTGTTTGTGCAAAAAAAATTTTTTTTTAATTTTAAGTAATCAAAATTGTCCATTTTATCTTCTTTGATTCTCTCTAGCCTTTGTTTGGTCATGAACTCTTCTCACATCCATAAATCTGAAATTTCTTACTTGCTCCTCTAATTTATTTATGATATACCTTTTACATGTAGGTGACATATGCATTAGCTTATCTTGGTGTATGGTGTGAGGTGTTGATCTAAACCTAATTCCTGCCAGATTGCTGTCCAGTTTTTGTCAAATAGTGAGTCTTTATGCCAGTAGCTGAGGTCTTTGGGTTTAATGAACAATAGGCTACTTGGTTTATTTCTGCATATACATCTGCTCCACTGATTGGTATCTCACTCTCTTAAACCAAATTGTTTTTGGTTTAATAATTACTGCTTTGTAGTATAGTTTGATATCTAATCCTGCTAGACTATTCCACTTTTTTCATCATCTCCCTTGAGATTCTTGACCTTTTGTTCCTCCAAATGAATTTCATAATTTGCTTCTAGTCCTACAAACAAGCAACACCTACTATGTACCAGGCACTAAGTGGTAGTTTGATTGCTATGGTACTAAATAAATTCGTTTAGGGGTTATTGTTATATACTGACTGGGCCTAACCGTAAGCAATTAATTACCCTCCATTTGTCTGCCTTTACTTCTAGAATTTTTCAGTTGTATTCATATAGCTCCTGTGTGTATCTTCATGAGTATTTTATTCCTCCCAAGGGTTCTCTAAGTACCTCACATCATTGGCAGAAATAAGAATTTTGTTTCTTCTTTGCCAATGTTTATTCTCTCAATTGTTTTGTTTTGGTCTTACTGCTCTAGTTGGTATTTCTAACACTATATCAAATAGAAGCGAGGACAAAGGATAGCCTTGTTTCATTACTGACCTTACTGGCAAGGATCATAGTTCATTCCTATGAGGTATAATGCAGCATCTTGGTTTTGGATATGTACTATCTACCATGTTAAGGAAAGGTCCATTTATTCCCGTTTTCTAGTATTGTTGAACAAAAAGGGAAATTACATTTTTCCAAAAGCCTTTTCTATATCTTTTGATATAATCTTGATTTTTATTGTTCTTGTCAATATAGTCGATTGTGTTTATTATTTTCCTAATAAACTCTGACTATACACGGCACAAATTTCAAGCCGGTCGTGTGTGTGTGTGTGTGTGTGTGTGTGTGTGTGTGTGTGGTCTTTGTGATATTTTTCTACTGGTCTATGTAAAATGTTTGCATCAATGTTCACTAAGCAGATTGATTTGGTTTTCCTTGTTCCGACTCTCTGGTTTAAGTATCATACAAAAATGTGGCAAGATCCCTTCTTTGGCTATTTTTTCAAATAGTTTCTGTGATACTAGAATTGTTCTTTGAGTGTTTGATAGAATTTGTTTGTGAAGCCTTCTGGTCCCAGGGTTTTTGCCTTTGGGAGTGCATTTAGGGTTCGTTCAAATGTTTTCCGGGATGAGTTGTTTAAATCCTCTATTTCTTGCTTTGTCCATCTGGGTATTCTACATTTTTTTAAACATTCATTTAAGCTGTTGGTTTCATGAAGTTATAGTTGGGCAAAATTGTTTTAAATCTTTTTATTTGCCACAAAATCTCCTTTTTAAAGTTTTGCTATTAGCAATTTTCTCTTCTGAATAATATTATCTAATGGCTCATCTATTCCCCACCCACCCCTCCAAAACATAAAAAAAAAAAACCTTCTAGTTTTATACTTTCTTTCCCCACCTCGTATTGACATGTGATACATGTCAAGTATTGAAATTGTCTACACCTTTCAGCAAGATATAGTTTCCTCGTATCTCTTCTAATGGTCAGGTTTTGCTCCTACCCTAGTCTGGAAATTACTATTATTACAACTGTTTTTTTTTTGTTTTGGTTGTTTTTTAGAGGCAATGGGGATTAAGTGTGCTCAGGGTCACACAGCTAGCCAGTAAGTATCTGAGGCTGGATTTGAACTCAGGTCCTCCTGATTCCAGCACTGGTACTCTATCCATTGTACCACCTAGCTGCCCCACACACCTGCTTTTTTTAGTTCAGTTGAGGCATAAAGTTTAACTCTTTATGTTCACTATGTAAGTAGTTAAGTTTCAGGTGTTTTTTGAAAAGAATACATTGTAGGAAATTTTTAAATCCATTTTTTCAATCTATTCTGCTATTCTCATCCCTTTCCTTTCAGAGACTCTTCTTTATGATCCCCTCTCTGAACTTAAGTTTGTTCTGGTTATGACCAACTGCTCCCTTTCATCCCCCATCCTTTTCCTCTCTCCATTTCCTCCTGTTTTCCTGTTGGGTTGAATGTGTTTCTACACCAAACTTTTTCTACTCTCCTTTGACACAAGGATTACAACATGTAAATCTAAAGAACCACCACCACAAAACGATCAAAAATGAATGTTGTGGATGTGAAATTATAATACATCCAGAATAAGAATGGCTCAGAGAAAATCCCTGCCCCCCCCCCCCATTCCTTTATAGAGGTTAGAGGTGAGGGATCCACAGTCGTGGAAAACTGCACATGATGTCAAACTTTTCAATGTATCAGTTTGGCTAAAAAATTTTCTTCATATTTAAAATAACTGCATTATATGGAATGGCTCTCTGGAGAACAGGGGATGCAGGGGGAAATTTAGGTGATGTAAGAATACAAGTTATCAATAAAAACTTTTAAAAAATCCAACTGTACAACAGGACAGGAATGAAAAGGCTAATAATAAGAGCTAACATTTATATAGTGCTTTCTATGTTCCAGGCACTGTGCTAAGCTCAGTTTGAGCCTCACAAACACCCTGGGCAGTAGGAGTTAGTACTCTGACCCTCATTTTACAGATGAGGAAATTCAAACAGACAGAGGTCAAGTGGCTTGCCAGGGGCCACACAGCTAGTGTCTGAAGCAGGACTTGGTGACTGTAGGCCCACTGTGCACTGTGGTGCCACCCAGGTGCCCCCTAAAGCACACTTCAAGCTCAATGAGCCACCAGGGTTGGTCTTCAGGTCTGGATGCCACATCTGAGGACGTAGTGACAGAATTTTAAAGAGTTTCAAACCACACTGCACAGTTAGTCCAAGTCAGCCAGTTTTCTAGCACTCAGGATGACATGGGAGCTGTCTGCCTGCTAACATGTGATTCAGTGGTTCGACTGGCTTAACTTGGCCCCAGTGGATAGGCCTAGATACTAGCACTAAGGGGCCAAGGGGGCTCTCTTTAAAGGGGGAAGCCCAAACTCCTTCTATTTCCTAGTTTCCCTCTTGGCCCTCTCATCTTACTCTAGAGAAACTAGACTAGAAATTTTTATGGAATTCAAGCTGATGAATAATGAAGGTAAAGAAAGAGCAACAAGATGAAGTTATTGTGAAATTAGAAACTAAGAAACCATTTGCTGCTGGGGCAGCACCTGAGAGCTTTGGGATGATGACAGTAAAAATCAAAGCTAGTATCTTGACTTTTTTTTTCCTCTTTAAATAACCAACCCATCTTGGAATTTGCAATCCATCAGCAGAACAAACAACAGAGACATTTCAAGAAGTGCTTTGCTAAATATTTAATTTTGTTGTTTTAATATTATGAAACAAAAGTATAAAACCATTCTAAATGTATTGCTCACTACTTCAAAGTGGAAGAAGACATCATAATCTAATTCCACAGATCCTTTATGAGCTGGTGTCATGTTGGCTTTTAAGTCAGAACAGCTTGAAGACTTCCTTCCTTTGAAAGAAATAACCATTTAATTTTGTTCCCCTGTTAAGATGCCTTATAGAAAAAGCAGTCAGGATGTTCAACTTAGATTTAACCAAGAAATGTAAAGGGCAGGAGAAGTGGGCATTCTGCAGATGGGGGATGAATATGCCACCTCAACAAAACCTACTGCTGTTCAGCTATACTGCACATCTTATTTATAAAAGTAGATAAAGTCTAAAAAAGGGCAGGACATTCAGTAAATTGATCCGTAACTAACCAAACTGACATGAGAAAAAAAAATTAAGTTGTGAAGTACCAAACTTACAGGAGACCGGTTTAACCCAGAGCCACAGGTCTCCAAGAATTTCCCAACCTTTAAACTGACTTCACTTCTTCAAAGGTAACCTACAATAAATAAAAAAAGCAACTCCCCTCCCCCACCTCTGCCCCCCCACCAAAATGCCCAACAGTGCATTTCACACGTGCCCCAAAGATCCAGAGTGTCAAAGTTAACCTTGGGGATAACTGAGTCCAACCCCAGCATGACCTTTAACAACCATAATAATTTCATGAAATCAATGTGTGCTCAATATTGCCTTTAGTTTTACTCTAAAGTGTCTTTTTTTGTTTGAAAAGCATTTACTCCAAAGTCAAAAATTTGGATTTCTTGAAGTTTGTCAAGCCCCTTGGGAAAGCGGCATGCTACACTTTAGCTTTGGTGGGCTCATCTCGGTTTCTTCTCTTGACATCCCAGTTGTAAACCCGAGCCATGTCTGAGGAAGTTGTTAAAGAAAATGTATTCTGAGAATACTTCCAGTCTGCATGAGTACTGCCATACTACTCCCTTCTATAGGGGAGGGGCTACCTTATGGACAAACCTGGTATGCAGATGCACCATATTTATTCCCTAGTAACAGCAAATATTGGTTTACAAGGTTTTTTTTTAAATAAAATAACTAGATCATAAGGCTCTAAAACAGAAACATTTAGTATATTTGATACTGTTGTATTTCATAATTTGCATTCTAATTTTCATTGTAAAAAAGACAACCCAACCTGTGCCTAAGAAAGAGCTGAACTCAACAGTCAGAAAGACTCAGCTTTAAGTCCAACAGAATGGGTTTCTGACCCTGGGCAAGTCCCACAACTCTCTAGAACTTCTATGGCAGAAGAGCTGCTGATCTGCCTCACTGGATGAAATCACAGGTATAGGTACACAACAGTAGCCCATAACCTCACAAGCCTGGCTCACAGACTAACTAAAGCTAGTCATTAGGTGCCACCACATCCTCCTGCTCTTCCATGTGTTCTCTTTGGTTGGGATATCCCACTAAGACGAGCCACCATCACTTGAAATGTCAGCATGTGGAAAATTAAAACCATTTCGTCCTTCAACAACAGACACATCTCTTCTCAATTTCTCCAATACAAATAGTTTTCCAGGTTTGGAGGTTTCTTACGGCACCTAGATGAGATTCCCAAGAATCTTTCTCTTTACAATGTCTCTTAAGCTTACACCACTGCAGTTTAGATCTCAACATCCCCCACTCTGATTGTAAGAAGGCCTTTTGCCAATCAACTGATCCCATCTAGCAAGCCAACCTTATCTCACTCCTCCCTAATAAGGCAGGTCTCTGCTCCAACCAGGAAATTTGAGAGCAGGGAAGGCCTGATTGCTCTACTCTCCAAGCATTCTTCTTACCTCAGATGCACCCCAGCATACCCCACCTCCAGGGTTACCTCCCAACTTTCTTATTGGCTCCAGGAGGTATGTGTCACCTAAAAGCATACAGCAAACACACAGCAACCTGACCTTTGCACTGAACCTAACATACTTGACAAGTGGTTGCCTGGCCTCTGCTTAAAGACCTTCAAGGAAGGAGGGTCCACCACCTCCATAAGTAGTCCATTCTACTTTCTGGGCAACACACTGTTTTAGAAGGAAAGCTAAAAAGCTATAGTTCACCCAGAGGATGGAGACCAGGATGGCAAAGGGACTAAGGATCTTTAGCTTGGAGACAAGAATAATTTGGAAATTGGGAGGTACATGTATGTAAAAGCTGTCTTCAAGTGCATGAAGGACTGTCATGGGGAAGCACACTTGGAATTTTCTCCTGGGCCCAGAATTCACAAGTATTAACAGGTGGAAGTCACCAACAATTGGACTGGATTTACCCTGGGGTCTTGGAGGAATACTTTTGAAGGGATTGTACCACATGACTATGAGATTCTCCAATTCTATGAGCAGGCTAAGCTTTTTTTTTTTTAATTTTTCTTTTTTGATGAGGCAATGGGGTTAACTGACTTGCCCAGGGTCACACAGCTAGTGAGGGTTTCATATCTGATGCTGGATTTGAACTCGGGTACTCCTGATTCCAAGGCCATCCACTGTGTCAACTAGCTGCCCCCCCCCCCAGGCTAAGCTTTTAATAAATGCTTGTCACACTAAACTCCTACTTGAGCCAGGAAAAAAACTTACACATTTCCCACGAAGACTTTCTTGGCTAAAAGTGTTACCTAGAAGAGGTGTCATGATTGTACCACCATGAATTCACAGAGTTTACATCAAGTAGATTCTAAGTAAAGGCAAAGAAAGGAAGAAACCCATATTAAATAAACTTTAATAAGCCCAATAAGCCACCTCTTGTACCCATTCCATAGCACTCGGAAGAGTGTGCAACAACATGTATGTTCACTAAATGACTAACCCATTTCACAAAAGCCCTTCCCATGCCCTTCAAGCCTCTTTCAACAATTTATGCCTTCATAGCCAACTACCCTGAGATAGATATCTCCTACCTGTTTGGGATGTCCTACATCTAGGCATTTCAATGAATAGCAAGTAGAGTTCAAATATAAGTCACTCCCATACTAAATACTACTAACATGTTTCAGCATCAATTCCGATAGCATTAAGATCTTTATATTTAAGTGAAGCAGTTCATTAAAAAAAAAATCCCCTAGATAGGATGCAAAGCTCTGTGAAAAAAAATCATCTTGCAGCTTTCTTCTTTTTAAAATTACAAAGGATACTGACTTCTGTGGTGGTAAACTGATCCCGAAGGAAGTCCAGATCTTCCTCAAGAGATTCCAGATTGCTGGTGGCAGTACAATGGTTCTTCTCCAAGAGGGCCCGAGCTTCATCAATGTCATATTCAAGCATCACGTTGGCCTGGCAAGAGGGAGAGATTCTGAACTCAGTCCTGGCAGTGACCTGACCAGTAGGACAAAGTGTTTCCTTTCACCTCACTTGGTATTGATTCCTTTGTGAAATCTCAGTAATCCCCCACAAAAGCACTAGGGGGTACATCAGTGGGGGGAAGGGGAGCAGTCTACCCTCACAGTTTATCCACTCAGTCTCGCATCCTGAGCTCTGAGCACAGTGAGCATGTCCTAAATGTGTTTTCGTTCATTCATTCGTTCGTTCATTCATTCATTCATTCCTTTATTTTTTTTTAAAGTTCTAGGCACTACCTAGAGGCAGCTGGTGGGTGGTGCAGTGGACAGAGCACTGGGTCTGGAGTCAGGAAGACCTGAGTTCAAGGTCCAGCCTCAGACAAGTCAGTCTGTCTGCCTCCCTCAGTTTCCTCAAGTGTAAAATTGAAATACAAATAGGACCTACTTCCCAGGGCTGCTGTAGAATAAAATGAGAGCATATTTGTAAAGCATTTGGCACAGTGCCTGGTACATAACATGTGCTTAACAAATGCTCATTCCATTTTAGGAAGAAGATTAACAAGTCAGTGTCTACAGAAGGAGAACCAAGATGGGGAAGGGCCTTGAGATCATGAGGTATGGTTGAAGGAACAGGGCATATTAAGCCTGGAGGAGAAGACTCAGGGGGCAAGTAATAGCAGTCTTCATATATTTAAAAGGCTGCTAAGGGAAAGAGGGACTAGATTTGTTCTACTTGGCCCCAGAGGACAGAACCAGAAACAATGGGTAGAAACAGCAAAGACAGCAATGTAGGCTCAATGTCCAGAGCTGTCCAAAGGTGGAAGGGGTGGCTGAGGGAGGTGGGAGATGGGAGGGATCCTTCACTGGAAGTCTCCAAGTAAAGGCTGAAGGAGCACTCTATGATGGGGTTAAACTAGCTGGCCTGGCCTCAGAGGTCTAATTCTGTTCTCTCTACCTCATGCTAGGCCTCACTATACTCCTCTTCCTTCCAAACTGAGGGAGATAGGGCACTGGATTATTCAAGGTCCTCCCTTGAGCTTCCAAATAAGTCTTGGGAGGCCTTGAAGACCCACCTCAGGCCAAAGTATGGCCTGGGTAGTCTGGTTAGGAGGTAGCAGTGGGAGGTGCACACTCCACAAAAACGGGATATGAAATTGGTTTGGCATGCTATTTTACTCAACCTATGTCAGATTCAGAAATGTTTTTGTCTCTATGTTCCATAGGGTGCTAACCTCTGGTCTAATGGCATAATAATACTGATCGCTAACATTTCTATAGTGCCTGCCAAAAGCCAACCACTGTGCCTTTGAAGCACTTCACAAATGTTATCTCATTTGATCCTCACAACAACCCTGGGAGGAAGGTACGTTAGTATCCTCATTTTAGAGATAAAGAAACTGAGGCAAACAGAGGTTCAGTGACTTGCTCAGGGTCGACAGCTAATGTCTCTACAGCACTTATTATGTTCCAGACATTGGGCTAAGTGTTTTACAAATATTCTATCACTGGATCCTCACAACAATACTGAGAGACATTGGTGCTGTTACTCCACATTTTACAGATGAGGAACCTGAGGCAGACAGGGGTGAAGTGACTGGACCAGTGTCACCCAGCCAGGAAAGTGTCTGCAGCTGGATTTGAACTCAGGTCTGCCCACCTACAGGCCCCAGGCTCTCCACTGTGGTGCCACCTCAGACTTCAGGAAAGCTACTTATTCTATGCCTCCATTGTTACCTGAAAAAAGATGATGTGTTAGCAAAAAAAAAAAAGTGAATTACAAGCATCAGCTCAGAAAGTTCTATATCTTCCATGTACTTACCCCCAACCACAGGCAGACTTTATCCGTAGGAAGAACTGAAGCTTTGCAGTAAAGGTTATCAGCCAATAAGAATCTAGTCTCCAAGGGCTTTGTGGTCTCCTTGGGGAAAAACCAACAGGCTTAGTTAGGTATGTCAAAGGTGTGTGTCACTCACAGGAGAGAAGCTCCTTAAAGAAGGTAGCGTCAGAGGATGGGTGGGATGCTGATTTCTGGATTTTGCTGCACCGTTCATTGTGAGAACATTTACTAAGAAGGCACTGCCTGGTGTCTTGTAAATCGAATCCAAATTCCTTTAAACTAAGAAGGAGAGGGGCTGGAGAACAATGCCCACACATCCCCACCAAGTAGATACCACAGAGACACACTATGATATACCCAGCAGCAGCTCACAAAATAAAATCCGAAGAATGAAGCCGGTACTAAAACATCTAATTTTTACTTTCTATCTACAAATGTTGGGCAATGAGCAAGAAGAACTTTAAGACCTAAAGCAAGGAAGCCAATTGGACCTCCTAGGTTAACACTGACACTTGGTGGGATGAGAACCAGTACTGGAAGATGGCTATGAATAGGTGCATTTTATTAAAACAAACAAACAAAGAAGTGGGGATAATATCATATCAAGGCAATATGAGGAAATGAAGGAAGAGAGGTGAAGTGTGATACAGAATATTTGGGTGGAGATCAACAGAGGATTAAACAGAAGTAATATCATCATTAGAGACTACTCTGACAGAAAGAACAGGTGAAGGAGTTTGAAAAAGACATCCCAAGGTTGGTAAAGTCATGATCACAGTAGCGATACCAGACTTCAATCATCCAGACATCCACATGAGCTCTCCCTCTCTGGCAAAAGCAGAGAAGCTAATAACTTCTTACCTACATTGTCTAAATGAGACCATCATCCTTCAAAAGGTAGGAAAACCCAAGAGGGAAAATTTTATCGTGGATCTAATTCTAAGTGGCAGCTGGGTGGTGTTGAACTTGGAGTCATGAAGACCTGAGAACAAATCCCACCTCAGACGCTAATTGACTATGTGACCCTGGGCAAGTCACTTAACCTGTCTGCCTCATTTTCCTCATCTGTAAAATAGGAATTACAATAGCACCTATCTCTCAGGGTTGTATCAAGTAATTTATGTACAGTGCTTTGCCAACTTTAAAGCTCTATAGAAATGTTAACTTATTAAGAGTCAGGCCTGGTTGCTGGGGCAGAAATGACCCTTTCATCTCAAAATCTGAGAGGGCAAAGAGGAAAGCCAGACACTGTCTGCCATGTAACGAGATTTTTTTTGAAAAACACATTTCAAAGATTCAGAGGAAGGGCAGCCAAATGGACTAAAACTTTCCAAGGAAAGTCAGCCCAGGAAAAATGGAAAACTCTCAACAACAAAATTCGGAAGGTACAAAGAGAACCAGTTCCAGTTAGGAGTTGTCTGAAGAGAGTGGCAGGGTTGCACAGGGAACAATGCATGGCCTGATTTCTACAAATGCGTCCATAATAAGAAAGTATGGGCAGGTAAGAGAAGATGAAGGATTCGAAGAGCAGAGCATGATACCTGAAGCCTAGACTCCAAAATGAGCACCAAGAGGTATACTGGGAGAAAAAGGAATACCAAAGAAGGGTGCTAAGTGACAAAAGAGAGAAGGCAGAGCCATCCAGGTCTGATTCGGCTTCTGTTCTTGGCCAAGGAGGGCAACTTCTACCAAAAAAAGGGCATATCCAACATAGTTCAGAGGGAGCTCATAGCCAAGAGAAGAAAAAGAGGCCCTTGAGAAAGCCAAGTCACCTGGCCCCAGGAAACCAGTTCTTTCAGTACAGAAAGAACTGGGGACACCCAGGCTCTAAGATGCAGCATGTGAGAGACACTGGAAAACAGAAGGACCATAGGAGGGTGGACAAATGGCTTCATTTTTTAAAAAAGAGGAGACAACAAAGTCCTTGAAAGTGTAAGCCACTCAGCCTGACATTCCTGGAAAAATTCTAGAATGGATCATTAAAGAGCTGGTCAGTAAAAATGCAGAAAAAGAAGTGGGGATTACAGAGTCAGCATGACTTCCTCAAGGACATGCTGTGCCAAATTAGTTGGCTGTCCTTTTTTGGATAGAGTGTTCGCAGGAATGCTATAGAATTTACCTAGATTTAATTATCTCATACTATTCTTGTGGAAAACAAGCAGAGATGTGGGCTAAACACTAGTTAAGATAAATTTAGGAAGAGATGAGCAGTCTGACTTAAAATCTGATGTCACTTTGGGAGGCAGGTCCACTGAAGGGCCTCTGAGAGCTGTGCTCTTTCATATTCTCCTGAGGTAATGCTCATCAGACTGGCAGATGCCAACAAGCAAGGAAGGAGGCCAGGCTAACCCACTGGGTAACAGAGTCAAGAGCCACAAAGAGCTCAGTAGGCTGGAACCTTGGGGCAAATCTGATGAGGTGGAATTCAATAGGGATATATGCCAAGTCTTATACTTGGCTAAAAAAAATAACCTGACCTCACAAGGGTAAGATGGGAAAGGCATGGTTACTCAGTAGCTTGTCTAAAAGAGGGCTGGGGACTTTGGAGGAGTTCCAATTCCATGAGTCAGCAGTGGGCTAGGACAGCCAAAATGAGCTCTTGGGCTGCACTGAGAGAAGTAAGGCTTCCAAGAACCCAAAGGTGAGAGGTCCTGTGTACTTTGCCATGGTCTAACCTCATCTGTACTGAGTTCAATTCTGGAAACCACAGTTTAGGATGGGAACATGGATAAACTGGAGAGTCTATAAAGAAGGGCATCCATGATGGTGAAGGGCCTAGAGTCTGTTTCACATGAGGAACAGGTGATAAGGATGTGTAGATGGAAAAGGAAAAGCCTGGGAGGAGGAATGGTGGAAAGAATAGGATAGCTGCCATCAGGCATGTTAAGGGGATGTCATACGGAAAAGAAAGGGGTTGGATGCCTGGTGCTTGGCCTCAGAGGGCAGAACAGGGTAGAAATTTGAAAGAAGTCACTTCGTACAAACAGGAGTTGCCCAAAGGTGGCATGACCTGCCTTAGGAGAGGACAGGATCCTCCTTGTTGAGCGGAGGCCAGGTGCCCCACTGACTAATTGTGTGGACTGCCATCAGGACTCCCTTTTTGGGCTTTCCAGCCTCATCATCTATTACTCCCTTTCCCCCACTAGAGTATTCAGCAAAGAGGCCTTCCCTCTGCTCTTCACAGGATACTCCACCTCCCACCTGTCCTCTTGAATTACCTGCAATGGCCTCCCTCCTCTTAGAATACCTCTCTTCTTGCACTTACATCTCATTTATTTATTTGTTTTTGTTTTGGGGTTTTTTTTAGGCAATTGGGGTTAAGTGAGTTGCCCAGGGTCACACAACTAGTAAGTGTCAAGTGTTTGGTCTGAGGCCGGATTTGAACTCAGGTCCTCCTGACTTTGCATATACATCTCAATCACCACCTGAACACTTTCTTGATTCTCCCAAGTTCAAGTGCCCACCCTCCCTCGGATTTATTTTGCACACACTGTCTCCCCCAACAGAGAATCCCTGAGAACAGAAAGTTTCATTTTTGTTTTTGTAGCCTAGCACATAGTTGGTGCTCAGGAAATACCTGCTGATTGATCAGGTGGCTCCTGAGATCCATTCTGACCAAATCCAAAAACAGAACCCAAAATTCTGTTCTTCTATGACAAATTCAATTTAGCTTCTGCTTCACACTCCTAAAAAAACGCGTATGTGACACAGAAAGAGAAAGACCCGAATAAGCACCCGAAGCTTCCCAATGACGCCAATACAGGCAGTACCACTGGTGAGTGGCAATTAAGCATTATGCTACAAGGTATGCCAATGTTAGTCAGATCATTGAAATCATATGTCTGTACTTTCTTTCAGTGAGATGTTAGCACTGGAGAGGATAGGCAGCAGAGCAAGATACTTGAAAGAGCACTGCTAGGCAACATTAATGAGCTGTCATCTATGAAATGAGGGTCCTTCCTACAATTCCATGACATGGTGGATTTTTACTGAGCATAAGAAACACAATGCTATTTCAGGATAACATGTCAATTTTTAAATTTTCAGATACTTAATCTCTGGCAAACAAAAATGTCACCCACTCCCTATAAAACTGACTCTTAACCTCATTTAGAAGGCGATAAGCTGAAGGAGCTCCCTTTGGAGTTTTGGGGGGAGATTGAGGAATACTAAGCAGCAGCAAGGCCACCTTCAACTCAAGATTAAGGAAGAAGCACTACCTCTGGAAGTATGACTGACCTGCCACAGAGAGGCAAGGGGGTCAAGCCTCAGGCAGGGGCTAAATCCAATGACCTTCCTATGCTAACATTCTATGATTCTGGCAAACTGCAATAAACTGGTGTTGGCTAAAAAAAAAAACATGTGGTATAAGAGAGAGCAAAGAGCTATGACGCCATGCATCTGCTTTGAGGGCCCAGGTGCCACCAAGCCATCCTGACTTAAGTCACCAAAAAGTCCAAAATTCACTTACTTTTTTCTTCTGCATATATTTTAAAATGTGTAATGTCTGTCTGATTTCGGGAATCTGGCTTTTTAGCCTGTGAATTTAAAAGAATAACAATTTAGTATTTTCCAAACAAGAAAAAGTCCCTCTCCCTCCAAACCACGGTTTTGAAGACCCAACCTGACCAATGTTTACAAACTCTGTAAGATCAGTCAGCATTTTTATGTGCTTTGGTCTCGAACTTTTGTCAAGCAGAAGCAAGGAGCCCATTGCCTGAAGGCCTTTGAAGCAGGTTTGTCCCAGTGCGACTCACCAGACCCATCTCTTTTCTGTTCTCTTCTCACGTACCCCCCCTTCCCCTGAATTTTCTGATTCTCTTTCCCTCTTTTTAAAAGTTAGAATCTGAGATACTTCTGTGCAGAGAAGTAGGAAGGGAAAAGAAAGAGGGTCATACACAGCAATTCAAGGGGATAACCGTATAGAGGTCTTAAAGTACATCAATCATTGCCCAAAGGCTTTCTCTAGGAGAATTTCAAGCTCAACGAGCACAGTGCCCACTAAGGTCAATGCCATGACTTCTCTTTGGGTTAAGTGAATCCATGGGGCTGACTCTAGATTTGTGTGAGGCCTGTTCACAGGTCCCCTGGAGAGTCCTTGCCAGGGTTCCAGGGGACAGGCTATCATCAAATGTAACTGTCTGCATTCTAGAGCTAAGGATCCATGATATTCCCTAGGCAAGAGTGAGGGATGACAGCTGCACCAATATCCACGAAGCAAGAAAAGAATGAACCTTCCAAGTATAAGGTGCATTCTCCACAAAGGAGGCTATGGAAAAATCTCCCAGGAAGACAAGGCATAGAGGGGTTGCAATCTACACTAGTGCAAGAAATGCCTACAGAAGAGAAATAATGAAACCACCAAAGCAGGTTGTTGGAATTTCCTGTCATCTGTTTCACTACTCTTCCAGTCTTGAAGTCATGGATCATAAAATGGTGGCCAATATTCCTTACTTCAGCTTATAGATCTGTGGGTGAATATTTTCTGATATTCCTACCTTTAATTTTCAAAACCACCTTCAGAAATCTCAAAACATACCTTCTTTTCTTCTGAGCAAGGTTAAGTTCCATAAACTTATACTTCTGATACTGCTCATCCAATTTCTTGAGTACAATATCTACAGACTCATTCCCAGGTTGTTTCATAAAAGCATCTACATCTTCCTTTAATGAAGGGGAGAAAAAGTCATGGATTATAAACTTCAAATATTATACTAACAAATGTCATAACAAGGGAGAATAAGATATACAAGCTACTATTCTCTATCAAGGACAATAAAATCCCACTCACTTGGATTAATTAGGGATAAGGGGAACTTTTTTTAAAATCAATGGTCTGAGAGATGTGATTGAATGAAACTTAACACATACTTCCCTCAATCTGGGTGGAGAACTCTCTAATTGAACATGTTAATAAATGGGGATATTTTTATTATACTGCAATCAAGAACAAGAATCAGACATTTAAATTCTTTTAATGGAAAACATCAAGCTTTTATTTTGAATAGGTTTTCTTCAACAAAAATGTTGTTACCTTAATAGAAATAGCCTAAGGGTTTTTTAAAGCTTAAAACATTTTAGCTTTAAGTTTAACAAAATAAAGACTGCCGTTGGATGTGATATGAGGGCAGAGATGGTATTTATGATGCTTACCAGATTTATTGATACTATCAAACTGGAAGGGAGGGGTAGCACAGAGGATGGCTGAGTTCAGAACCAAAAAGACCCTAACCAGTTAGTAAGAGCAAGTATATAAAACCTACCACTTGGGAAGGCTACACAGGCAAGTGAAGTATAAAAAGTCTTCTACTTGGGAAGGCTATGAAGACAAGTATATAAAGCCTTTCCCTTCGGAAGATTTCACAGGCTGGTGAAGTATACAAAAGTTTTCCATTTGGGAAGGCTTCATAAACTGAATTTGGGGCAGGCAGAGCTGGAAAACAATTTCCTAAGGGGAGGGAAAAAAAAAAAAGCCTGGGCTTTTAGTGGCCTTCCTTTAGAGTCAATAGCTTGATTAGTTGCCAAGAAAGCTAACACTAAATGCAGGCCCTCCCATTAACAGGAACATCAAGGACTTGGGAGGTGATAGTAGTTTTGTATTTTGTCACAGTCACATCCCATCCAGATTCTTGTGTTCAGTTCTGGGCGTCTTATTTTAAGGACATTAAAATGATGAGCATCCAGGGCCCTGAGATCGTGCCATGGGTGATTCTGCTGTTGCTACGACTTACTAGGCAGCTAGGGGTACAGCGCATAGTGTTTGGAGCCTGGAGTTAGGAAGACCTGAGTTCAAATCCAGCCTCAGACACTTTCTAGTGGTGTCACTCCAGGCAAGTCACCACTCCCGCCTCAGTTTCCTCATCTGTAAAATGGTAATAATAATAGCACCTACCTCAAAGGATTGCAGTGAGGATCAAATGAGGTTATTTGTTAAGCTCTCTGCAAACCTTAAAGCATTCTAGAAAGCCTAGTGCTGATTCTTCTTCTTATTATTATTCTTACTGCCATCATTACTATGTGTGTGACCTTCATGGAGTCACTTCCTGTCTTTGGGCCCCACCTGTAAGAGGAGGAGGCTGAAACAGATCATCTCTATAGGCTCTAAATCCCTGCCATGTGTCCTTCTAAGGCTGGTGGACAGAATGGCTACTGCTACCTCAAAATAACTCAACTGACCAGCAGAGTGCCCCCCTGGTGGGATAATATAAACTGTTTCTAAGTCCTTGTTTCCTTTGGGTGATTTGCAAGTATTTAAAGAGATGTCACAACCAAGAGAGGTAAGACTTGCCCTGCCCTTAGAGTGACCAGTCAAGGCTTCAAAGAGGCCTATTCACTTTCAGAGAAGAAAAAATTTAGGAAGTAACAGGTTCCTCACTCAGTGGAATTCTTGAAATAAAAGCAGGATGACCACTTGTGGGGGGTATTATTGGGAGGATTCTTGTTCTTTTCTATAGTAGGGGTTGGACTAAACAGTCTCCAAGGACCCTCCTTGCTAATGCTGTGTGAAAGAGCATCCTTGTCAAGTCAACGGAAGGAAGTTTTACAGCTCTGGCTTCAAATTGCCCTCTATTTATTCACAGACTAATTTGGAAAAAAATAAAAGATGAGCATCCCTGCCTTTTCAATTCTCAGACTGGAAGAAGTGACTTCAGTACTGAATGCTGAGAATAAGAATAACAAAATGAATTTAAAATCATTCACAGCCTCTTATAACCTATTTCTAAAAGCATTTCTAAAAAGGCTCCATGATTACATGAGTCTAAAATCTTAGGTAATCCATCTCCAATGTACTAGTGGGTTATATTCCAAGAGCGTTTTATCCTATAATATAAAGGAAGCATTTGTACATTTGTAGTAACAAAACAGAAAGAAACAGAATGTTGCTAAACAAGTAATAAGACTGAATAAGAAAGCATTTCTTAGAATGTTGGCACTTCAGAAATAGTTCATTAGAATCTGATGAGGAAGCAGAGGGAGGGAAGTGCCCATTTTAAAAGGGAATTCTGAGTGCTATTTTCAAGGCTTGACAGTTTGAGCTCCTTCTTGAGCTACCAAGCTATTAAATGCTAGTTACTAGTTCTCTGCATGGTAAACTGCACTTCCAATCTTGTGGTTTGTCTTTTCCTTGATATGAATATCATTAGCACAACTCAAGTTCCATCAGCCACAATTACAATACTTTTTTGGATAACAAAAGGAAGAAACTCCAAAGTAGAGCTGGCACTGAGGAGGCAGGGTGGGAATGGCCAGGAGAGGAAAAAAGGGAACTGATTTCCCCCAAGATAATGGACAAGAATGTCAAAAGAGAAAAAAGTCCTCACCAATGATCTCTATCAAATCCAATGGCCCTTTCCAGACCCTCATCCTCTCTTTGGCCATCTGACACAGCTGACCATATCCCTCCAGAAAACTGGCTCTTTCCAGAGACTACATTTTTTAATCTCTACTTTCTGGGCTCTTTCCATCCCTCAAAATTTGAAAGGTCTTCCTTTGGTCCTCTTCTATCTCAACCATAGATGACTGCCCATATCTACATTTCATAGCCCTGATTTCCCTCCAGAGTTCCAGCCCCACATCTCCATCTGCCCACAGGACATTTCTACTCCAAAGTCTTTTCAGCGCCTCAATATCAACACATCTGAAATGAGTCATTTTTTTCTCCCTCCCTTCGGATTTCATTAATATAAACTCATCCATCTGCAAAGGCCTTCATAATATCTCTTGCATCTATTCTAGCCTTTCCATTCCCACACTAGTGATAACTCTAAATAGATTAAGCAAGTGTTCAACAGGATAAGAATGATTTAGTAATTACTTCAGAGCACATGCTCCACTACAGACCTCCCCTGAGTGCCTCATCAAGCTGGGTTCTTCTGGAAGGCCAGCGACTGCCCCACAGGCTAAGTCTCTGAGTGGAGGCAATCTGCAGAGGGAGAGTGGGTGCACTTTGCAGGCCAATAAGTACAATCAGTGAGATTTTAGGGCTCAAAAAGACCAAAAGCACTTTAGCTCCTCCAGTTTATAGCAACAGCACTTGCATGCAGATAGGTGCTTAGGGCCAAACACTCCCTAAGGAAATCTTAGACAGTTTTTCCTTTTGAAAAGAACATGTAAATTTTAACTCTGCCCCTTCCTAACTAGTCACACAAATTCAAAATCAAAGTTGCATAGTATATCCAACTCTCAATTACCTCTGATTATGGAATACATGGGTAATAGACACACATGAAATCAACTAATCTAAAGATAATAATCCAAAGATAAATTTCATACTTCTCAAAAAAAGTCATTTACTAATGATTTGCATTTATCAGCAATGAAATGACTGGGAGGCCAATAATTTAAAAGGCATCTAGGCATGGTGGATAAGGTTTGGAGTCAGGAAGACTGGGGTTCATATCCAGATACTTTCTTAGCTTCTCTGTGCCTCAATTCCCTCATCTATAAAATCAGTCAGCTGGCCTCTAAGATCACTTTCAGTCCTAAATCTAGGATCCTATGATCTATAAGCTGCATAATCAGCTCTTCCATCATGGAGAAAGCCAGCCATCTGTGTAGCTTAGAGAGCTAAAGGTTTTCAGAAGGGTAACTTGGTTACAGACAGCAAAAGACAATGTCAGAATTGGAGAGTTAGAGAGTAGGAGGCCCCTCCACCTGCCCAGGAGAGGTAACTTCTGATAAGGAGTGTGGTCTCCTCCTCAGTCAGTGGTTCAGACCCTTCGGTGTGTCAGACTCCTTTGGCAGGCAATCTGGTGAAACCTAGAGAGCCCTTTCACAAAACAGTGGGTTTAAATGCAAAAATTAGAATAAATAGGATTACAAAGGAAACCAATTATATTAATATGCAATAGTTCTCAAAATAGTTTTTAAAAATCATTCACAGACCTGAGGCTGAGAACCCTCTCTATTAGACTAATAATCACTTAGATTGATTCTTTGATCATGGTGAGCTCAGAGGGGTTTAGAAGCCATCATCACTAGTAATATACTAAGACTGGGAACAAGACCAATAAGCCTATACAACAGTTCACAGGGCAACACTAAGACCTTCAAACACTTTGCATGATTTTTGGTTCAACCATTCTAGGAAAGCAATTTGGAACTTCACTCAAAAAGCCAAAACACTACAGCTACATAGATAGCCCAAAGAGGACAAAGACAGATGGAAAGGACCCAAATACATTTGCACAAAGATATTTAAAACACCTTTTGTAGCAAAAGACTGGAAAAAAATTGGGTGCCTATCAATTGAGGAATAGCTGAATAAAATGTGATATAAAAATGCAATAGAATACATTCATAAGAATTCCCAAGACTTGTGTGCACTGACGCAGAGTGAAATGAGCAGAACTAGGATGCCAATTTATACGATGACCACAACAACGGAAAGGAAAACAAGTCTGAAACGCTTCTCATCCCCACAACATGGAGAATACTGCACATTAACAGATATGAACACCAGCCCTTTTCCAATATCGTTGGTTAATTTTACAGAGCCTTTTTTCCCTTTTTCCCTCTTTAAAAAAATTAATTATTGAGAGAGAAGGCTCTCTTGGAGGGGGAGGGAGGTGGCAGATGCAGGTGATGTAAGAACAAGAACTATCAAAAACAGTTTTTTCGAATTATAAGATTGTGATCAACAGAGTGACCAGTTGCAAGACTGGTGCTAAAGTGTGCTGCCCACATCTTGGCAGAGAGTGCAAAAGGAGAAACATTTTTAGATGCAGCCAATGCACTGAGCCTGAGAGTTGGAGGGGAGGGAGGGTGGATTTAGTGGGTAGTAATATAGGCTCCTCCAAAAGAGAAAACATTAAAAAATACACAGAACAAAAACAAGTTTAGGAGGGGACAGAAATAGGGCAATATTGTCACTTGTATGTTCCATTTACTATACATTTTTAAAATCAACCTTGCAGTAACAAAAGATCAGTTTCATGCATAATCCTTTTTATTCGTCTTTGTAAACTGTCTTTTTTACTTTGTATTGCTGGGGTTTTTTTGTATACTGTTTATCCTTGTTGATGATTAAGTTCATAATAAAAAAGAAAAAAGTGAACCCCAATTTTCTGACTTCCCTTATTTGTACCTACGCACCAGCCAAGCTGCCTTCTGCAAGGCTGGCTCCAATCTTCTTTCAGTCAATTGAGGTTAGGCCTCTTTTTCTGACTCTTTCCCAAGCTGCCAACATATTGGAAGTTACCTTCATTTTCTGATCAGTCAATAAGCATTTACTTACCACCTACTGAAAGAGCATGCTGTGGCGAGATTTGGCATCAGAGTCCAAGCTCTAGCAATGACTAGTTTTGTGGTTTCAAGCAAATAATTTCATCTCTCTAGGCTTCAATCAATCAACCAATAAGCATTTATTTATTTTTTTATTTTTATTTTTTTAGGCAATTGGGGTTAAGTAACTTGCCCAGGGTCACACAGCTTTAAGTGTCAAGTGTTTGGTCTCAGGCCGCATTTGAACTCAGGTCCTCCTGACTCCTCACTGCGCCACCTAGCTGCCCCCCCAATAAGCATTTATTAAGCAACTACTATATGACAGGCACAGTGCTAGAGATAAAAACACAAAAGTGAGACAGGCCCTGCCCTCAAAGGGCTTACATTCTGGGGGAGAGGAGAGTACATACAAACTACATACAGGTTAAACTGGGACAGGAAGAGTCCTGGCAGTTGGAGAGATCAGGAAAGGCTTCATGCAGAAAGTGGGACTTCAGCTGAGTTTTGAAGGAAAGAAAGAACTCAAGAGGCAGTGAGGAGGAGTGCACTGAAGGCAGGGGGAACAGCCAGTGCAAAGGCATTCAGGTGAGAGATGGTACATCTTCGTGAGGAACAGCAGAAAGGTCATGTGGCCAGCCTAAAGAGCACAGGACAGAGAATCATGTATAACAAGGTTGGAAAGAGAGGTTAGGGCTAAACCTAGACTGAGCCTAAGGTCAAGAGGAACTCATTGGACTGTACTGACCAGAAAAGTGACATGATCACCTCTTAACTTTAGGAAATGAACTTCAACAGCTGTGATTGTGGAAGACGGATTGGAGTAATGAGAAAGTTGGGGGGGGGGATGCAGAGATCAATTAGTAAACTATTGCAGTGGACCAGGTAAGAGGGTATGAGAGTATAGATTAGGGGGTGGTGGCTGGGGGGAGTTCAGAGAAAGAAAGAAATCTGAGGAATATGGAGGTATAAGGGCCAAAATATGCACATGTGCAGTTTGGGAAGAGTATAGAGTCCAGCAAAATGCAAAGATCGGAAAAATGGGGGCCCTTGACAGAAAGAGGAAAGTTCAGAAAAGGTTTTGGGGAAAACATAAAGAGTTCTATTTTGGACATACTGAATTTGAATTACCTAAAGGACCTCCAGTTTGAAATCATTAAAGGACAGTTGGAGATGTGTGGCTGTAGCTCATCAGCTGAATAGAGATAATTAAACCCACTGATGAAGCTGATGAGGTCACCAAATTTTCTCATTCATAAAATGAGGAAATTGGAATCCATGATCCCTAAAAGGTAAAATTTCAGGAAATGTGAAGCCATGGAAAGAAACTAAGTCTTTGTTTTGATTACATTAAGGCTTTTTTTAATACATCTAAGGGTAGTTGAGGAACAGAAAAACATGTCTAACGTGATGGGCATCATGTTTGGAAATCCTGAAAAAGTACATTTTTTTTGGAGGGTGTATGTGTAGGGGTGGCAATCCCTAAGTAGAAAAAAAGATGTGCTTAGTCATTTTTATTTTTTGAGGGCCTCTTACTATTTCTAGCCAAACATGTTAATAGGCACTATAAGAGAAAGACAAGAATAACAGCACAAAGTACCAGGGATGAGAGGGAGGTGGGACACAGTAAAGGAATCAGTAAGGCTAGATTAAGCAATAAACAGTAACCGGAAAGCCAAAGCCAAGACTTTGAATTCCAAGTGGACACAAAAGCAGGAATAAGTAAGCTAGTAAATATAAACTATATAAATACACATTAAAATATATAAACATAAAAATAAACTATATAAACTATAATTTCAGATTACTGAACACTGGACAGGAAAAAATAATGTTTAGGAGAGTAAGGAAGGAGGTTAGAACTGCAGCCAAATCACTGAAAAGGGGTCTCTTGGTAAACAAACAGCTTTTAAAATACTAACAGTCCTAGCTTACTTGAATAGCATCAGTTTACATAGTTTTTCTTACTTGATACTCCCAACAAAACCCGTTTATAACCTGGGAGAACACAAAGAGAATTCGAGGTCACAAGAGAAGTCACAATGGGAGAAGTAGAACCCAGTGCTCTGGGTTATGAATCACGGTGGGGGGGGGGTGACGAAACGGACACGACACATGATGGGGAGGGGGACTGAAATATCCTCGGAAGTATACTTTCCATTCTTTTTTTATAGACAAAACCCTACAGGCTTTGAAAAGCCTTCCTGGATCCATTAGAAGAGGCCTGATGGCTTTCACAATTAGACTTGGGACTTTCTTTGTTTCAGCTGTAAGTGAAGAATAATCCTCAGGGACCAACTGGATAAGCTTATTGGTGTTGGTCCTGGGCTTAGAATATTATTGGTGATGATGCCTTCTTCCCTTCAGAATGGCCCAAAGCCAATGTAGAAAGAATCAATCTAAATGATTTTTGGTCTAATCCACAAGGGTCCTAACCTGAGAGATTCAAAAACAAAACCAACACCATTTTCCTCCCCAGTATTTTAATAACTGTAATTCATTATCATTAGTTTCCTTTGCAATCCCGTGTATTTTATGCATTTAAAACTTTATTCCGGGACAGCTAGGTAGCACAGTGGATAGAGCACTGGCCCTGAAGTCAGGAAGACAATCCGGCCTCAGACACATGACACTTACTAGCTGTGTGACCCTGGGCAGCTCACTTAACCCCGCTTGCCACACCAAAAAAACCCCCCAAAAACCCTTTATTCAGAGCGGGGGGCAACAGGCCTCACCAGACCCTGCCAAAGAGAATGGTGTAAAAACCTCTTCTCTAGTCTTCACAATGCTGACAGATGTCAAAACATACTGCTCATACACTGACTTTTTAGACTTGTCTGCCATCAACCAAAGAAATTGGGGGGGGGGCCTCAGTTTTCTCCTCTATAGACTGAATTAGATTGCCTCTGAGGAGACAAACTGAGCTAGGCAAACCAGAAGGACCAGCTAAACCTAGGCTGATTTCTACTTGAGAAAGAAATTGGGGAGAGTGGCTTGTACAGGCCGAAGCCTAAAGGCTCAGAAGGAGGGGGGAAGGAAAAGGAGAGAAGTGCACAAGAAAGGCAGCTACCGGGAGGACAGCTGAGTGGGAGTGTGTGGGAGGGTGAGAGTGGGTGTATGTGGGGGACACCTGGGGAAGAGAAGTGCTTAATGTTTACTGAAAAAGGAGAGTGGGGGAGGGAAGGGGGACAGAGAAGGGGAAGGAGAATGAAAGAGGACAAGGGCAGAGAAGAGTAAGAAATAGAGGGGGAGGGAGAGGAGAAGACAGGGGTAAAGGAAGAAGAAAAACGGGGAAGGGAAAGGGAGGATGGGAAGAGAGGTGGGATGGGCAGAAGAGGAAAGAAATAAAGAAGAGGAGGGGGAAAAGGAGAAGAAAGGAGGCCTACTTCCTTCCTCGCCCCTCCTCTCCTTCCCTCTCCTTCCCTCCCCTCCCCCACCTTCTTCAGCAGCTCCCCCAGGTCTGGCCGGCCCCAACGCGCCTCTCATAGCTCCGAGGAGCCGGAGCGCAACCTGCCCGCCCACGGTGGATCAAGGGCCCTCGGCGACCCTTACCACGAACACAGCCTCGGGGATGCCCAGGTGCCCGCGGCGCCCGTTTCCTCCCGCCGAATCGCTGGTGCTCGAGAGCTCCTTCGCAGCAGCCATCTTGAAAGGAAGTCGAGAAGCCCCGCTTCCTTCCGACGCCAGCGGACGTCACGGCCTCTTCCGGGAGACCTCGAGCGACCTGCTCCAATCAGAGACTGTCTTTGGATCACGCCAATAACTGAGGCTGCTCCCATTGGCCCGGCTCCTAGATGGTGGCAGCTTATTGGCTGCTCGGCGGTTAACTGGCAGGAAGAGGTGGGACACAGCGCGAAAGCCTGAAAGTGAAAGGAGCGGAAAAACAAAAGGCGCCAGTGACGTAGCGAAGGAGGCGGTGCTGGGGCCGCGAGATCCGGGCCAATCCGGATTCTCTGAACCCTCAAAATGGCTTCAAGGACTAAAGCTAAGAAACATTTTCCAAATGCTTCCTAGGCACTCTTGGAGGACCCATGAATGCCAAACGGTCCTCGGGCCCCAGAAACCTTGAGTTCGAGTCCCACCTCTGACACTCGACACTGCTCTGCGCCCCCGGGAAAATCCTAAGCTGTTGCTGAGCAGGTGCTAACCTGCTCTAGTAGGGTTTCCTCATCCCTCTATATTCCAATGAACTCAGGACCATTCCCAACCACTCCCCTGCTCCCCCTTCAATGCTCCAAGATGAAAGGGAGGAAGAAAGGGGCAGACTGGGTTCATTTTTGCGTGGCAGGTCGAGATCCTCCTCTGCCATCCCTAGCATTAGGGTCCCCAACTGGGATCCGTGGGCCCATTCCAGACCCAAAGCCAGCTCTTTTCCCCCACCGCCCATGCCAGACTCCACAGTTCACCATGACATACAGACGGCTGAGCCCCTCCCACTCATTTGGGGACACATCTACATTCAAACCGAAGAGATGCGAATGAAGTGGGTTTAAAAAGTTTCCTGGGGGGCGGCTAGGTGGCTCAGTGGCTAGAGCACCGGCCTTAGAGTCAGGAGGACCTGAGTTCAAATCTTGCCTCAGACACGTTACACTCGCTCGCTGTGTGACTCTGGGCAAGTCACTTAACCCTAATTGCCTCACCAAAAAAAAAAAAGTTTCCTGGAATAAACGAATTTAATAACAATGTATCTTACTTAAATGAAAAGCTATAGCCCACATTGCTCAGGGGCTTGTGCTTGCAAAGCGTTTTACACATGTCAACTGAACCCCACAACCCCATGAGGGGTTGGGTGGGTACAAATATCATTATTCCCAATTTTACAAATGAAGGGAGGCTAAGGGGCAGGGAGCTAAGAGATTTGTTTTAGGTAAAACAGTTTAATGAATATTCAACGTTCAGCAAGCATTTATGAAGCATCAGGGCGTTAGCTAGGTGGCACAGGAGACAGCACTGGACCTGAAGTTAGGAAGACCTGAGTTCAAATTAGGTCTCAACACTAGCTGTGTGACCCTGGACAAGTCACTTAACCCTGTTTGCCTCAGTTTTCTCATCTGTAAAATGAGATGGAGAAGGAAATGGCAAATCCAGTATCTTTGCAAAGAAACCCGAAATGGGGTCACAAAGAGTCAGACATGCCTGAAAACAACTCAACAATTATGCACCCATCAGGCACTGGGCTTACAAAGGTGGAAATGAAACTCCTACTCTCAAGGAGCTTGCATTCTACAGAGGGAAAACAACAGGAACACAAAAAAGTAATTGGGAGGGGAGTATTTGAGTTTAATTTGGAAAGAAGCTAGTGACACCTTGAGGTAGAGGTAAAAAAGGAGTACATTTAGGAAAAAGGGAAAGCCAGTGCAAATGCAAAGGTAGACTGATGGGATGGAGGTCACCTGGGAGGCCAGTCTGCCCGGTTCCCTGTGAGGAGGGTGGTAATTTCCAATAAAACTGAAGATAGGTTGAGCCCATACTTCAGCAGGACTTAAAAACTGCAAGCTAAGCATTTGTATGTCATTTTAGAAAAAGTATGGAGTCAGTGAACATTTGATCAAACAGTTGGCCTCATTCAGTTTTAGTTCTACAAGTTAGTGGTTAAAAATTGCAAATTCCTATGGCTGTAAAAATGATTTTTAAATGCTTAAGTTTGGACATCTACTTCTGGGTATGGGCGTTTTATTCCTGGCACAAAAATAAACATGTAGTACACTTAAAAGCAAGTAACTTTGGTGAGAAAAGTGTCAAAACACTTAAAAGTAGAACAATGGAACCAGCTGGATAGACATTGTCTAAAGACACAATAATGCCAGTGCCTTCTCTGTCAAACTGTAGGGTGTGGATAATGAAAAACTGGGGGATACAATTAGAGGATTAATACTTATCTGTTAATCAAACTGAAATCTTTTCATTTTGTTGTTCTCTAAAGGTCCAAAAGCAGGTTTTGAAAACGAGAAATTTTGCACACCAAGTTCTGTTTAATGCAGTTAAACTTTTTATTATCTAAGTAGCCCACATCATGATTAGCCATTTTAATTAATATTAAATTTCATTAAACTTTCTAAGTCATTTTATTTATATATAACTGGCTAGATAGTGGCATTAACATTTAGTAAACTCTTATTTAAAGGTGCTGTCCAGTGTAAAAGGTGTGTGAATTCCTTAATAGGATATTTTTAAGACTGTAGCATTACAGAGATGTGTTTCAAAGAGTATATTTACATATTTAATTTTTAAAAAATAATTTCTTACTTTAATGTGGCATGCACAATATTTTAAGGCTGGATGGCATGGAAACCCTAATTTCCCTGTTTTAAGCTCATTAATACTGTATTTTTAAAACTACCTAACTGTTCAAATCAGTCAAACCTACTGCAACAAATAAACGGGGGGACATCTCTGTAGAACAAAAGCCCTGGCCCAAGTCCAGAAATTAAAGATAGCTGGCATAATAAAACTAGAATAACAAAAGAATCTGGATCATTTTGAGGGTTTGCTGTAAACGAATGTCCTAAGAAAACAGCTTCTGCAACTCCTTAAATGTTGGGAATCAACTCTTCATAACTACGTTTATACTTCAGGGAGTTGTGATCAATGTATGTGGCTGTGCCTTCCAGGAAAAACCTCGAAGCAGTGGAAAGCAGATGCAATATTCTATTCCCCATCTCTGGCTGGCCCACCTGCCAATGGATAATGGCTATTTGCCTTCCCCCCTCTCCTCCCCTTCTCCCCTTCCCTTCCCTCCTTCCTCCTTCCTCTTTCCCCCCTCCAGCTTGAAGACTATTTTTACCTAAAAGCCTTTACTTGCCATTGAAAGGTTTCTCAAGTTAAAAAACTGGATTTCACACCACGATGATGATCAATAAGAATCTCAAGAGCACTGGAATTCAAAGTTAGTTGTTTTTTATTACACTGGAAGAGAGTGCCCTGGTTCTAACCCTATGCTACCCAAATGGCGATTGTTCAATCTCTTCTTCTCTGTGCCAGTGGTGAGCTGTTAGCACATCTCCTGCCCTTGGAGCTCTACATGAAGTGACTCTGTAAGGGGGAGAGGGGGGAACAGAGAGAGAGAAAGGAAAGAGAGAGGGAGAGAGATGGAGGGAGAATGGAAGAGAGGAAGAGAGGGAGGGAGGGAGGGAGGGGGGGAGAGAGAGAGAGAAAGGAGGAGAGACAGAAGGGGAGAGAGACAGAGAGAGAGAGATACAAAAAGTAAGTCATTTTGAGCCATTTCTTTTGGTTTGAAGTTAACCAATCACTAACATTTTTTTCTTTTCACAAACTCTAAATATCTGCTCCTTAAGTCTTAACAGCGTTTAACACCAGAGGAGACAGAAAGATCAGGTGGAAGATGCCTCTAGGCTGAAAGACCTGGGCTCCTGGCTGGGCTCTATTACTTAACAATGTGACATTAAGCAAGTCAAGGTCATTTTCCCTCTTGGGACCTTGATTTCCTCATCTGTAAAATGAGAGGTCAAACTAGATGATCTCAAAAGAGCCCTTCCAGTTCCAAATCTATGACGGTATGAACTTTTATATCACTATAGACATCACACCTGAGCAAAATTGTGCTGATAATAATTACTCAGCAAAACAGAAAACAGCTTAAACCAGACAGCCGAATGCACACAGTACCAGGCTCAGCATCAGGAAGATCTAAGATCAAATTCTGTGTTAGATAATTACTAGCTGTGTGACCCTGGCCAAGTGATTTAACCTCCCTCAGCCTTAGTTTTCTCATCTGTAAAATAGGAAGAAAGGGAGGGAATAAGTATTTACACGGTTTCAGGTACTGGGCTTTACAAACATTATTTCATTTGATCCTCACAACAACCCTGGGAGGTAGGGGCTACTATTGTCCCCATTTGGCAGTCAAGCTGATGGAGGTAAAGAGACTTGCACACAGCTAGGAAGTGCCTAAGGCTGGATTTGAACTTAGGTCTTCCTGACTTCAGGCCCTGCACTCTATTCCCTGCAGGATAATAACAGCACTTAACCTAAGTACTAGCCATCATCATCACCACCACCACCACCACCACCACCACCATTATTATTATTATTAAATTAGACAAAGCTCTTAGATCCTTTCCTACTTAAGTCACTTACTAGAAAGACTACTTCCTTGAAGATGTATTACTCCAGGAAACTGTGAAGTTAGGCATTCCCAAACCCAACCTTTCCCCAAAGCTTCCCTTTCAGAAAATCTGTGGACAAGACTAGGCATGTCTCTGCTGAGGGAACCTTAAATATTTCACTTTTGGAGGATGTCTCATAGAAAGGATGAAAATGAAAGAAAGTGCAAGAACCAACGAAAAGGTCCAGGTAGGTGCAGGGAAGAGGAAGAACAGAGGAGAGGGAGCAGACTACTTTCAATTACAGATGACTAGTGTTGAACCCTTTCTTTCATGACACTGTCTTCTTTTATAAATGGGGAAATGACAGAGAGGAACAAGTAAAAGAGAAGATGATGGAAAGAAATAAAAAATTAACAATCATAACAGTAAACATGAATAGGATGAGTTCTCCCATAAGATGGAGAAGGGTAGCAGAGTGGATTAGAAAGCAGAATGTGTTGTTTACAAGAAACAGACTTGAAACAAAAAGATTCACAGAATTAAAATGAGGGGCTGAAGCAGAATTTATTATGTCTCAGGCAAATTTTAAAAATGGAGGAG